TGAAGATCCGGGGCAACGTGCAGGGCTCCTCACTGCAATGACAGAGCGGGCACATCCTCAGTGTGCCGCCTGGCACCTCAGCAGAGCTTCTTGGAAACCAGAGGACATTCCATCAGTCCTCAAGGTGACTCTAGGAGCCTGATGGCAGCAGCGCCCTCTGCTGGGCCTCTGGAAGCAGAGCCACAGTCAGAAGACCCGAATCCCAGTGCATGTTTCCTGTCTGTGGGCAAAGGTTAAGGAAGGAAGGAGATAAAAGGCTCCTGCTTCCGTTTCTCAGGCTCTCCCTCATTTCAGAGAGGCTCCTGCAGGTTCTGGGAAGCACCCGACCATCTAAGGACTTGGTGAAGCATGAACACAGAACTGGTACGTGTGCTACCTTGGAGGGCCTGGCCCTTACTGCCAACGCTTTGAAAAGACGGTCAGTCACACACAACGGAAGATAAACTGCAATCTCCCTCTACTCTTCGTCTCACATACCTTGGATATGTCATCAGGACAGAGCAGTCCCTGAAGAAGGACCGCACGCTTGGGAAAGTGGAGGAAGGCGCTCCAGAAGACAGATGAATACAGGGCTCTAACCAGGACTCCAGCACGACCAGCATCGTGAGGACGGCCCGGGACTGGGCAGTGGTCCCTCCTGCTGTGCACGGGGTTGCTGTGAGACGAAACCCATCTGACGGCCCCTAAAGCAATAGGAACTACATTCCATCCACCCACCTACCTACCTACCAGCACAGAAGGAAAATATAAAATGCCGCAGAGCACCCAACCGGAAGGCGGACGGGCCTGGCCCAATCATACGCAAGGGGCCTTGGTGAAGCACAGGTGATGGGCCTGAGGCTAACATGTTTTTATCCCAAACAAAACGTGTTCAAGTCCGTCTCCGCCAAACTCCCATCTTAGCCTTTACAAAAGATGCGGTCAAACAGGGGCCTGGAGAGGGGGGAGGGGGGTGCTCTGGCAGAGCAGTCACTCAGAAGGTGATGAGGACTGTCTCTTGGGATTCTAAAGGGGGCATCTGGAAAGAGGACAATCACAAGGCTTCTGAGGAAGAAGTTGTAAGAGTTCTGAGTTGTGTTTTATTTTTCCATCCTGACAGTGTGCCTGCTCACTTTCAGAAGGGAGCAAGAGCCGTCCTACAAGAATCTCCCCGGGGAATCTTACTCCAACTACCCTGCTGCTGCCCTCATCTCATGCCTCCACACATCTTCTTGTCCCCACAACTCAAAGAACATTGAAAAGGCAGGCAACTCGGCCCCTCGAGGATGCCAGAACTGCCCTTTGAGGTGCTGTAAACCAGAGCGCAGGATTCTTGCTGGAGGAGTCAGAGTTGGAAACTCGGCAGCGTAGCAGTGAGCAGTGTAGTTGGGACGCAGGCAGTGCTGACAAGCAGGCGCGTCACACCCCGCCGGGTGCTTCCTGAAGGTTTCTGTGACTCTAGCAGTGCTGTTCTAAGCAGAATGTGTCACCATGTGGGGAAAAGATGAGGAAATTGAAAAGGAATCGAATGTGTCTTGTGTGCTTTTTAAAAACTCGGAAGATATAAATACACGTGTGTGACTTCATATCTGCAGAAAGGAACTTGAAGGACCAGACCAGAGACTAATCAGGAGGGCTCCTGGAAGGAGATGAAGAGAACGGAGGCAGCAGGGACAGCAGGGACAACCTCTTGGAATGCGCCTGGCTCTGTGTGTGTGTGGAGGGGGGGGGCATTACTTTTTTAAAAACAGAAGGAAGCCCTTCCTGTGGGGTAGGTGGGATGCTTACAGACATCCTCCCTGAAGGCAGTTAGTCACCAGACTGGGGGATGGGAGGACCTGCTGTTCACAGACAATGGACAAGCCCTGTAGGTGGAGTTCACACCCTACAGATAACGGTCTTTATCAGTTGAGCCAGGAAAAGGTCAAACTGGCTCTATGACATCCAAAATTAAGCTGCCATCCTAAAGCTAGGATCTGCCCATCTTGTCACATGTATACCCCCAACTCCTCTTCTTCCTATTGTGGAATGTCCCTAGATTGTCCCCCTCTCATTGCTGTATAACCTATAGTGCAACCCCTTACTGTGACATATGTCTTTACCTGTAATTAGTCGGCTTGCACACCCCAAAGGTATATAGGCCTGGGTTAGCAATAGAGAGTTCTCTCGGCCCCTCGCTCACTCAGCTCCCCCTCTCCTCTCCCGTCCTCACTCCCCTGTTCCCTTTACCCTCCTTCCCTTCCCCCTCTCCCTACAGGGACCATCAAGCAGCGCTGAGGTGAGCAATGCTACCATGTAATGTGCCTGACTCCATTATTTAACTCTCTTCTATCTCTCATGCTCTTGGTAACTTTAATATTTATATATCTCGACCATACAATTGTGCTTATTGAACCCACGATTAGTGGTGGGAGCTGGCTCCCCCCACCTCAAACCACACCTCCCGGCAAAAAAATCAACTCAAACACGCTCCAAGTAAACAGAATAACCACTCCAAACCAAAAGTAACGTTTTAGGTGCCTTAACCTGACCTCTCTAGAAGGGCACACCCGAAGGGCATATAGAGGCACGAGAACCACAGTGAAAAGGGCAGGCCACGGGCATGCAGTGAAGGGTGGCAGCAGGCTGTGATGCCCCTGTGAAACTACCCTCTCCCAGGAGGTTGCCACAAGGAGAGCAGACACAGCGTGTCACCAGAGAAGTTCACAGACGCCCTAGGGTCCTTCACTTACACGAGTGGGGGATCTACTTCTGACACGATGAAATCGACAGCTCTCTAGCTCGGCCCGCAGACACCACTGGAAGCAGTGAAAATCGAGGAGAGCAAGGGGTATCGAGGACCCAGGGCTCGGTGGGGACAAGTGGCAGCGGCTCCAGGTTTGAGGAGCGGACAGGCAAGGTGAGCCTGCGGCACCCTGTCAGGTTGTTGGGACACAAGCTGACCATGCAAGATGACTGTGGACCAGAAAACAGAGAAGCCAGTGGCCAAAGACAGGGCAGTCTGGCATCATAATGACTAAGAATAATGACTAAGTAGAACAAAATGCAGCAAATTCAGTTTTTCGTCTCTAAGTACAGCCGACCCCATTGCTGTCAGTCAGTTCTGAGTCCAGGCCTGAGAAGCCAGAGCAGCACTGCCCCGCAGGGCTCCCAAGGCCAGGTGCTTGCTAGAATCAGACCTTCCACATCATTCGTCCACGGAGATGCTAGTGGGTCCAAGTGACTGGCCTTTTGGCTAGCAGCCAAGCGCTTTACCTCTGTGCCACCAGGGCCCATTTCATTCATACTACCAAAAAAAAAACACCCATGAACAGAACTCACTGCCATCGATTGCTCTGGACTCATAGGGATCCTATACAGGGTGTCTCGGACTACACGTCTTCACAAGAGCAGACAGCCTCATCTTCCCTGAGGAGCCGCTGGTGGGTTTGAACCATCGAACTTGTAGGCAGCACTCCACCACTTGTCCCACAGCACCACAAGGACTCCGTTTCAGCCACAACAGATACAACTCAAATAAGCAAGACCGCGTTGGTGAGCCCTGAAGACCACGAGGGCACAGCTCACTCATCAGTAAATAAAAACGGGGGAAAGAGAGAATGGAGAAATGTGCCAGGCCACCAGGCCTGGTTCCTTGGGCCTGTGAAAGGCATGAAAGAGGATGGGCGGCCCGAGGTTGCAGCATGAAGTCAGTGTATCACAGAGGCTCCGAGTTAAAGGATGGGAGAGGGTGCACAGGCGACAATACTGGTCGCATGAAGGCTGGAGGGCTTGTTATCACATCAGACAAAACAGATGATGTCCGAACAGAGACTACTACTGACCACGAAGAAGGTCACAGCACTTTGCTAAGTGGGTCAACTAGCCCAGGAGGAATATCAACCTTCGACATTTACCAATATAATAAGAGGCTCGAATTACATGAAATCAACTTGGCCAGAGGAGCAGGGAGAAGCAGGCAACCATGATTACAGTCGGATATTTTGGGCCACCCCTCTCAATGACTGCCAACACAAGGAGGTGGGACACCAGCCGGAGACAGAGGAGTTGAACACACCATCCACCAGCCTGGCCCGGCCAGCGTTTACACACACTCTCTACTCAACACACTCTTCTCAAGAACACATGGAAAGGTTGCCAAGACGGCCACTCCTCGGCCAACACTAGTCTCGATAAATGAAAAAGGAATCACATTATGTACAGCATATGCTTTCTCTGTAATACAATCGAATTCAGTAACACAGAGGTCCCTAAGAAATTCCCAAGTCCCAGAAACTAAATAACACAGCCTTATCTGACCCCACAACAAAGGAAAGCCTAAGAGAAATTAGAAAGTATCAAAAACCAGAAACATTATCTGAGTGTGGGGGATGCTGCCGCAGCCGTCCTTGAGGGATGTTTACAGGGTTGAATGCCTCTCCACTGGGGGTGGGGAGGTGGGAGAAAGTTCTCAAACCCAGGACTTCAACTTCTCCATAACAAACTAGGAAAAGGGCAGGGGATGGTGTCTCTCTGTTATCCTAGTCAGGTCCCGCACCAGCGCCGCTGGCAGGGGTGCCACGAGTCTTCAACCCACAAGTCTGATGAGGGGGTGGGAGGTGGGGAGAACAGGATGGAAGGAGTGTGGAAAAGAGGAGCAGAGTGTGTCCAAGAGGTGGGAGGGGGATGGAGACCGAAGAGAAAAAGACAGAAGCTGAGGTTCAAATCTGGCCTGGATATTGATGCTGCTGCCTACAAGATCTGTTAACTACAAGGTCTGTGGTTCAGACCCACAAGCTGCTCCTTGGAATAAAACAGAGGCTATCTACTCCTAAAAACAACTGAAGCCTTGGGCCTCCAATGTAGGGTCACTGTGAGTTGGAAGCCACTCGGGGGCAGTAGGTTGGGATTCGGTTTTCTCAGAATGACACTCGGGTCTGGAGGACAGGCATGCCCGTGGACCAGTGGTGTGACAAGTATCAGCTCCGACATCGAAGCAGGCTCCCTGCTCTCTCAATGTAACATAGCAACAAAGATACAACTACCTTCACCTTTCTTGGCAAAGACATTGCGGAACGTGCTGCACAGGTAGGAGACTCGGCCACTGTGCAGTTCCAGGTGGAGCTGGTGGCCGTGCAGGCCATACTCAGAGGTGTCATCCCCAAAAGAGGTGTGAGACGGTGGCTCATACGGGCTAGGGAACAAAAGGCACACAGAGTGTGTGTTTCAACAGCAGAGAGAAGCCACCCCCGCAGGGGCACTGGCAATTCTTTTAAAACCCAGCACCCTTTCCAGGAGCCCCGCCCTACAGGATTCCCACCAACCTCAGGACCAAGGGTGCAGAGTGCCTGCTCCCCAGTCCTGCACCCACTTCCATGAGGTCTGCGGGCAGTTTCTGAGCTCAGCTGGCCATCGAGAGGACAGAAGTGCCTGGCGGAACTCGCTGCACAGGCACACGGACGGGCCAGGCCTGAGTCACAGTGCGCCAGGCCCACTCCAGGAAGAAAACCTTACTTTGGGCGCACTGGGAGCTTCTCAAGAGATGGAACTATAAGGGGAAATGCGACCACCAGGGAAGCAGAAGTGACAGGAGCTGCCCACCTGGAGACACCTGAAAGCATCACCACACACAGTGGCCCAAACTGGGCACTTCCGCAGACCGGTCAGCCAATGGCCCCAGTCTGCCGTGTGCCTTGCTACAGAAGCCCCAACGGGACAGGAGAGCAGGCTCAGGTTGGGAGAAGCCTGGAGACAGGTGATGGAGCTAGCCTACCTACAAGCCATTCTACTGCACACGACAGCTTCCCCCAGAAGATACAAGACCGCCTGCACTCATGAAGAGTCCAGCTCAGTGGTGCTGCCTGCTGGCGGGTGTCTGTTGCCTAAAGATAGACTGTCTCCCTAACTGTTTTCAGGTGCTGGTGCACCGTGCACCTCGCACCCTTCCTGGCAGCTGCAGAAACACCAGGGTGCACGCATGCAGCGCTGCATACATACGTGGTGGCCGAGCCCAGCGTGATCCGCTCCATGAGCTGGTGGAGATGAAGGCTCATCGTCACAAAAGCCAACTCCTCCTTCTCCTGAAAGTTAATTGGAAAGAGCACAGATTCAAAGAAAGTGTCTTGTCACAGAGAGACGCAGGTTCTGCTGGCTGCACGGCTGGTGCAGGGCTAACACCTGGTGGAAATGACAGCAGAACCAGAACCTGCCTGGATATGGCAGTGCCGAGGGGAGGGTCATCCTGAGCCCAGCCGAAGAACAAAACACACACACCATGTCTGGTGATGATGGAAACGGGCACCATCAGTCTGGCCGCTTCCTGCTCTTCCAGAGATAGGCAGTGCTGGGGAGAGGCTCACAGACACAGGCCTTCTGCAAATGCTTGACCACCAAACCAACCAAGCCCACCTTGTGGAGTCCATTGTGGCTCTGGATGACCCTTTAGGGCAGGGAAGAACTGCCCCCAAGGGTTTCCTAGGCTGCGATTGTTACAGAAGCACACTGAGCCATCTTTCCCGACAGGTGCCCGGTGGGGTCAAACAAACCATCTTCCCCTTACAGCCAAGCACCTGGCCACTGCTCTAGGAGTGAGAGGAGTGCTCACACCTGAGCCCGAAGGACCGCCTGCCCTGACACCATGCGTGTGGGGTCAGGAGCATGTCACAGGCACAGAGAAGGGGCTTTGCCGATAAAGGACATGAAAGAAACAGAGGGAGGAAGGCGGGGTGGGGTGGCTAGCCGGAGAAGTGGACACCCCTGGAGAGGAGAGGGGCACTGGGCCCCGGGCGTGTGGTCAGAAAGGCGAGCTGGTGAGAATGGCAAAGGGAAGCCTCCGGGTGCGGATGTGTGTGCCAGGCCCTACCTTCCAGAGGCCCACCAGGAGGCCGGGGCGCAGGTGGAAGACCCGGACAAGGTTGTCGCAGCCCATCAGGGCGCCCTCAGTCAGGCTGCGGAGACAGTACTTCGCGATTACAGACCGCCACCGGGGTCTGCGCACATCCCTGAGGAGGAAAGAAGGCAGGGGAGCTCGAGTGGCTTTTCAGCAAACATGGTAATTCTGAAGAGCATGTTGGTCAGGAGCCTGGCTGCAGGGGACACGGGAGTGCTCACAGCATCCGCACAGAAAGAGCAGAGTGGGTGGGCCCACACTTCTCCCCACCTGTGCTCACTGCCCTCCTCGGGCCAGCACAGCACGACAATAAAGGGGAGTCTACATTTGTGCCCTGGCCCAGCGTGCAGGATGTGTGCAAACTGGCATGGGCCAGCATTCTCAGCAGTCTGGCAATTGAGACTTAGTAACCCCCCATGATGAATCTCCTCAGAGGTTCAGCCTACTTCCAATATCCAGAGGCACTGTGGAAAAGCTGACTGGTTTTGCGGGGTCTGCAAACTGCACATGGCTCTGCACGGGGTCTGCAAACTGCACATCTGACCTCTGGTTCTGTGCACGTGAGCCAGTGGCCTGCCATATTGCCTGCCAATCCTAGGAGTTGTCAGCAGCCAACCTTGGATTCGTTCACCTCTGCAGTCAGGAGCCAGAAGCCATATGACATGCTGACCTGGTCTTCATCAGTTCCTGCAGCCACGTGAGGAGTCAGAGGAAACCTCTGGTTTGAAACCTGACCCATTGACTTGGGACTTGTCCAACACTACAGGTGCATGAGCCAGCTCCTTGAGATAAACCTCTGCATAGCAACATCAAGAGCTCTAGTGTCATAGTGGTTATGCATTGGGCTGCTAACAAGATCGGCAGTTCAAGGTCACCAGAGGTTCCTCAGGAAAAGGATGAGGCTGTTTTCTCCCACAAGGTCTCAGAAACCCGCAGGGAACGTTCTAAGCTGTCCTATGGGTTGTTATGAGTCAGAACCAACTCAACAGCAGTGGACATGTTTGCTGTCAGCACAGAAACACTGAAGTCAGCACAACGCAAGTCAGGGGGAGGGGGCAGGCAGGTAGGAGCCCTGGTCACACTGTGGTTAAGACTCCTGACTACTGACAAGAATGCCCATGGTTCAAAGCCACCAGCCACCCAGTGGGAGGAAGACGTGGCAGTCTGGTCCCGTAGAGACTCCCAGTCCCAGACACCTCAGGGACAGTCCTACCAGTCCTACAGGGTGGCTTTGAGTGGGAACTGACTGGCGGCTGTGGGTGCAGGATAGCATTTCTGAGCTACAATGCATCCACACGTCAGGTTTGCTCATCCACCACGTGGGTTGAAGTGATGCTTACCGGTTCGGGACACGGGGTGGGTAGAGATTCGTGAAAACTGGAGTCACACTGCACAGTTCCATGGTGGACAGCGTGGCCAGAGGCGGCCAGCTTTGGCTGTGCCACACCAGGGTAAGTGATGCGTCCCTTATGGAAAGGTCCACACACTCCTTGACATGCTCTCGATTGCCTCTGTCCCTCAGAATAATCACCCAGTCCAAACCCAACGCCCTGGGGAGGCAACAGAGAAGGACAAAGTTAAAGACGTTTGCCTCAATGGGAGGCGGGGGAGATGCCTCCAATCACCTCTAACCCACCTGTGCCCCATCACACCACCCAGTGATTCCCACTCACAGTGACCTTACAGCACAGAGCACATTAAAGGACTGTAACTCCTGACAGGAGCAGAGCACCTCGATTTTCTTCCTTGCAGCAGCTGGTGGCTTGGAAGCTCTGTCCTGGCGTGCAGCACACTGTACCACCAGGGCACCATCAAAGCTGAAATCCAAGTCACTTCTCCTGCCTGCTGATAAGCCCTCACTCTACTCTGAGTACCAGCAGCCCATCGGTCCCACTGGAAGCCTGCTCAGAGGGGCAACCCCGGGAGCCCTCACTCCACTGGACTGGGTCAGGCTGAGCCTTCTGTTTTACAGACAAGTCTCAGACTCTACACAGGACAGAATGACAGGACACACAGGACAAAACCCCACCTCAGACTGTGTACCCAGGACAGGACCTGGAAGGACAAATCTCCTTCAAAGCATGCACACCGACGGGCAGTCCAACTGTCAACTGTCTGCCAGGATCCCAGTGGCATGGCTCACCTGAATGCCTCCTTGACCCTGGCGGGGAGGCCCTTGTAGGGGTTCACAGGCCGCAGCAGCCGAGTCAGGGTGGCTTTCCCAGATGACACGCGCTGCGACAGGCACGCTTTCTTCCAGTGTCCAGCTGGCTGCTCCCCCAGCGACCCGGGGTCCAGGCTCAGGGCTGTCCTCTGCAGTGAGCTGGCTCCCCAGAACAGGCACTCCCGAGGAACAGTCGCCGAGTAGATCCTGACCCAAATGAGACTGGGGAGGGGGCAGGGTGAGTCACAGGCACCGTCCTGCGCCACAGTCCTGGTGGTGCCATGGTTACAGTGCAAACAAAGGGGCCATTTGATCCCACCACTACGTGGCTCCCTAGAGATAACAGCCTTGGAGGGGGCCACGGCAGCTCCACTCAGTCCCCAAGGGTCCCGCTGAGTCGAGGTCCACGCGTCAGCAGGGGTACCCCCACCCAGGTCCCCATAGATGTGGGTTTGAGGTTCTGGGCCCGGGTAACAAGACCTCCCCATGACGTCCTGGGCTTTGCCTAATTCCTCATTGCTTAGACCAGCAGTTCTCAACCTGGAGGTCTTCACCCCTTTGGGAGTTGAACGACCCTTTCACAGGGGTCGCCCGATTCATAACAGTAGCAAAATGACAATGATGAAGTAGCAACGAA